TTGGCTCCTGACTCTTTCTGCTGCCAATCCTTGGCTCCTTCTTACTGCTGTCTCTCAGCCACACACCTGTTGTAGGGTAGGTAAGATCTAACACCTAGCTTTCTCAGATAAGGGTGAAAAAATCTCGGAGGCCTCATATGCAAGTTATGGTCCAAAAATTGATAAGAATAGGCTTCGGCCGCCATAGGGGCAAAATTCAAAATTAATTCCTTCCAAACTGAAAATACTCAATATGTCCCGCGTACTCGTATGACCTTATGCAGTTGCAAGCGCCATAAAACACCTACAGTCGCTTAGATTTTATTAATTTTATTTTTAGATTCCCTTACACAACAGTGAGTTTAACAGTCTCCTGTACTTTACCAGTTTATTTTAAATTACATTTTGTTTTGTTTTAGGCTTTTTTCTGCCAGATTCTTTTGCGCAACTTTCAGTTTTACAGTCAACTGTACTTTGCCAAGGTTTTAAAAAACTTACATTTTATTATTTTTTTCTCCGTCAGATTCTCTTGCACTACTTTGAATTTAATAGTCAACTACACTTTACCAGTTTTTTTTTTTTTTTTTCCTGCCAGATTCTCTTGCGCAACTTTGAGTTTTACAGTCGACTGTAGTTACCATTTTAAAAAAAACTTATATTTTCTTTTGTTTTGGGTTTTTATCTGCCAGATTCTCTTGCGCAACTTTGAGTTCAACAGTCAACTGTATTTTACCAGTTTAAAAAAAAAAGACAATTTGTTGTTTGTTTTTTTTCTTTCAGATTCTCTTGCACTACTTTGAATTTCACAGTCAGCTGTACTTTACCTATTTTTAAAAACTTATATTTTTTAAATATTTTTTTTTCTGCCAGGTTCTCTAGTGCAACTATGAGTTCAACAGTCCTCTGCACTTTACCATTTTTAAAATACTTACACTTTGTTTTGTTTTGTTTTGTTTTTTGCCAGATTCTCTTGCGCTACTTTGATTTTAACAGTCAGAGTGACGCAGAAACGTTACAGGAGCAACTGTGTAACCTGACGGCGCAGGAGCTGACAACTTTTGCCATAGACGTGTACAACGACGTGAACTCAACACTGGTTATGGATGAGGTGAGGGGGGAGGTGGGGTAGTGAGAGATTGTTAGTGTGTGTGGGGGTGGGG